GGGAGTAATGTAATCTTACAGGGAGTAATCATTATTTTACATTTAATTCTGACAAGGAGTAATTTTTATTTTACTTGTAATTCTGACATGAAGTAATCATTATTTAAGCTGTAGTTTCTGACAAGAAGTAATTATTATTTTACAAGTACATGTAGTTTTGACAGGGAGTAATCATTATTTTACATGTAGTTCTGTTAGACAGGAAGTTCTTGATGAAAGATTTAAAATGCTGATAATTTTAAACTAGAGTAACTTGTATCTACATTTATGATATAAATACTTCTTAATTCAGTCAAAGTCAATCTTAAATCAAATCCAAGAGGTTAGAGAGGAAATTGTAGTTCATGATATTGAATTTTTATTTCAAAAATATATCCTATTAATTTAGGATCTAGGAAGTCATCTAGGATTGTGCCTGCTTTGGAAAGCTTTGAACATGACTCAACAATATGTCTGCTATGTTCTCAACTTAAACGCCAAGATATCAGTCAATCAGAAATAGAGGAAGGTATGTGCCTTAATGTCAGATAAATAAGTGGTTGCCCAATTGAAGATGTCTTCTTTTTCATGTTCTACATTCATACCTGTATTCATTATAAAGAATGCTTCATTCTTTGTATTATTGATATCCATTTAAATTGGTTGTGAAATCTGTAAAGTAAGGTGACATTGTTGAATTAGAGAGAGAAATGGATATAAAGATGCCTTTATATTTTTTGTTTGTTATGACTGAATGTCTGTGTATTCAATTATCTGATTAATATTTGTAGGTTCACAAGAAGATGGGGATCTTGAGTCAGTGTCCTTGGATAAAGACCCTGGGAGTTTGAATGCTGCCATCAAACTTCAAAAGGGGTCACGACCCCGCTACAGCAGTGTTAATGAGCCATCCTCTGCCACTCCAGGAAGTGTTACAAGCTGTACAAGCTCAGACTCTTGTAAGCCAATGAAATATTGCCTTACAAAACAAACTGGAAATAAAACCGTAGCAATTTTCACTGCAGATACAATCAAAGAAGTACATGCATTTTAAACAATAAATCAAAATAAAATGGAAATCCTTATTTCAAAATCTGTTTATGATCTTTTAAGAAATAACTCCTCTCTACAATGTTTTTGTTTTTTGGGGTTGAAATTCTGATTAGAATATTTTCACGATTGTTAAACAATGTTGACTTACAGTGACAGTAAAGATGTCTTATGACAATGTTCATGGGAAAGGCCTGATCAGAAAAGAACTCCGAAAACTGGTGATCAACCTGAGTAGCTCTGTCGGACTTAAGGGCTCTGAGCAGGGACTGCTAATGTAAGGCTTCATTTTCTTAATTTGACTTTCATTTTGAATAAGATTTTACCATTTATTGTTATGTGTTTAGCAATACTCAAAGCAGTGAATGACTTATTTTTGATAGAACAAATTTTCTGAATTGCTAAGATTTTATGTCAGTAATTTATTGTTTCATAAATTTACATGAATATACTTGTACAGTAACATTATACATACTTATAAACATGTACTAATATTGGAATTCTCTTGTCCATCATTAATTGATGCTATGAATTCATAGGCGAGGTAATTGTAAAATACATAAAATGTGAATTGCAGTATGCTAGTTCAGTTTCTTTTATATTACATTGTTCTGAAATGTTTATGAATGCTTTTTATATTTGTTCCAAGATATTATTTTTTTTCTCCTTTTAAATCAGGCTGAAGCAGAAGTTCCCTGCAGTGTTCAAAGATGTTTGTTTTTACTCAGAAGTTTGCCACCTTTTATCCATATGTTCGTTTAGATTAAATGCCAGGAGATTTGTACAGGAACTTTTTGAAGATTTCAAAATAAATAAGGTACATATACATGAATGTATATCATTTTATACTGTAGATCACCAAATTTTCATGGAAACTTTATTTTCTTGAGATAGTTATTTGGTATATATAAGCAAGTCAAAATTTCCACGAAATTTTGATTATTGCTTATAAAATCTTTTATTATACAAATATATGTGAGAATGAAATTTTTGCAAGTGGAAGATCTCATGTAATTGCATGAAAGTTAAGTTCTTGCAAATAAAAAGTGATTTAAAGTTCTATGACACTAAAGTTGATTCTGAGGTTCAAAGAACTGATGTTCATATTACTAATGGAGCTTTTCTGATCACATTCCATCTGTAAACTTATTCTTCTCTAGAACCACTGGGCCAGTTTCAACCAAACTTGACACAAAGCATCCTTTGGTGAAGGGGATTCAGATTTGTTCAAATGAAGGGCCACGCCCTCTTTCAAGGGGAGATAATTAAGAATTAGTGAAAATTTAGTGGCATCTTTAAAAGCTGCTTCTCAAGAACCACTGGGTTAAAAAAGTTGAAACTTATGTGAAACCTTCATTACATAGTGTAGATTCAAGTTAGCTCAAATTATGACCACCTGGGTAGGGTGGGGCCACAATGGGGGATTGAAGTTTTTGCATAGGAATATATAGGAAAAAAATCTTCTTCTCAAACAGCAAAGCCATGTTTAGTAATACTGATATGGAAGCATTCTCAGGTAGTGTAGATTCAAGTTAGTCCAGAACATGACCCCAGAGGGCTAGGGTGGGGCCGCAATGGAGGATGAAAATTTTACATAGGAAAATGTAGGAAAAATCTTTAAAAATTTTCTTCTCAACAACAGCAAAGCCATGATTAGTCATTTTCATCCTCAGGTAATGTAGATTCATATTTGTTCAAACCATAACCCCCGGGGGTAGGGTGGGACCACAATGGACAATCAAAATTTTACATAGGAATACATAGAAAAAATCTTTTAAAAATCTTCAAGAACAGCAAGGCCATGATTTAGTCATATGGAAGCTTCCTCAGGTAGTGTAGATTCAAACTTGTTTAAATCATAACCTCCTCTGCTGCCCCTCTGTGTGTGTGTTTGGGGGGGGGGGGGGGGAGGGGGCACTTATATATTTAAACTTTTCAACACTGAACCGCTTTCTGCTTTTCCCTAGTTAAAATGCTCAGGTGAATGATGTGGCCCATGGACCTCTGTTTGTTTTTATACTGGATGTACATTTAGGATTCTTTTTTCCAGCTGATAGCAGAGCCTTACTCTTTAACTAGTATGATTGAAGGATCAGAGAAGAATGTGATCCCAGTGACTAAACACGACAACCTGGACAGCCTCTCAGAATACAACCAATTCTAACCTAGAAATGATGCATCTCAGACTCAAAATCTGGACAGCCTCTCAGAATACAACCAATTCTAACCTAGAAATGCTGCATCTCAGATGGAGTTAATTCTTACTTAATCTGGAGAATTAATGACTAAATCTGTAAAGTTTGCAAGACATGAGTAGAGTTTCCACTGAATGAAAAGGCTTTAGTTTTTGCATGTCATACCCAGTGGGTTTATTAATTTTCTGCTCTTGTCAATGGAGGACTGTGTAGATTTTATTGTAGGTGTACCAGCAAATGATTTTTAAACTTGATTTGGAAAAGATTTTTGTTTTTGTTATGTTCCTGAAAACTCTTAGTTGATGTCTAGGTATTCATTCCTCATAGTCAAGATTTCGTTCTCTATTCCAGTAAAATATTACTTGTTGATGTTTAGGCATACAAGTGTTCCTGATGGAGAAATACTCCTACCTTTTCTGTGCTGACTTCTCAGCACTGGAATTATTTACAACTTCATTTTGTCTTGTGTATTTTGTACGATTTAAAGTTGTACAATACATGACTATTCTACATTCTTTTTGATCTCTGTAAAACATGTAATTCATAACACTGTAACTTGCTGTGTAGTGTTTATGCTTTTTTCCAAGTGTTGGAATGACAGAAGGGGAGATTTTTCTTTGAATGAATGTTTATTGATATACATGTACCTGTATGAATAAGTGCTTCAGAAGTGCTTAAAGTTATTTTGTAACTGTTATACAGTTATTATTGTTAAATCTAGGGCAAATTGCAAATCCATGGACTGTGGGCGAACCAGGAAACATTTCTTCAACAGACACTGGTACCTAACACTGCTTAACAGAGTTTTTATCAAGTTTTTGATGTTTGTTTTAGCATCAGGTAACATAGACTGGAATATTTGGGCACTATGTACCTTGTAAATGCTTTTTGGAAGATGTTTAATGCTGAAATGAATCCCAATATTCACCCTTCATGATTTCACTATGCAACTCTCCATCAAACCCAGTAAAAATGCACAGTCCAAGATTGTTGTTTTCCCACTCTTGTGTTTCAAAGTTAATTAATAATCAGGAGATAATTATAACATCTGTCATTTTTACCACTGTCCAATGTTGGCATTGTTTAACCTTTTATTTTTCTTATGTATTTTTGAACACCAATTGTATTCACATTACTCTAATTTACATATTGTGATCACAAAATATTTGTTATTGATGGAAATCTGAAAATAAACCAATTTACCATGCAGATTTATTAGTATTTCTTTCTAGTGTCAGGGATGGAGTATCTGTGAACTTAAGGCTTGCTTTATATTGGAGGACTGACTGGAAAAGTGATAATATTTGCAAGTAGAATACTGTTCTTTGTCTGACAGTCTCTTTACTCAGAAATTTTGAAAGCAACACTCATGTTTCAACCTTGCACAGATAGCTCATGGTCAGAGGGTGTCACAACTCAAAGGATTTTTTTCTTGCCTACTCTTTTAACTTTGTACTTGAGAAACTTTAGATTCTCATACTAATCCAAAGTTAGGTATGATCAGAGGATTTTTATGTTTGGAAGGAAACGTCAAAGAGATGGAAATCCTCATCTGTCCTTCACTATACCATGAACACTTGGCATAAAGTAGGTATTGATCAAAAAAATGTGACATGAATCTGAACCAAATTTATCAATACGCCAATAAAATTCACACCAACCTTGGGACTACTTAGGAACATTCAGATGAACAATTTTTCTTTTGTAAACTTTAGAAACCTACATGGAAAATGTTTCCTGCTCTGTATTAGCAGACTGACAATACAAAACAAGGCGTGTAATAAATGTGATTTATTTAAATATCACTGAAATGATCACAAACTATACTTCTTGTAAATCGTTTTGTACAAACTTTTAAATGTCAGTCACTAATTAATTAACAATTCAACTCTTAGACTCTGCTGACTTTAGGATGGCCTCGTAAGCATCGACCTCGATCTGAAACTCAGCCTTATCTACTGCCTCCACTGCTGCATCTCTGGCAGTTTGGGCCTTGTGCATTGCGTCACGGGCCTCCTGTCAAGGGTAAAATCAAGGTTAATAAATTGTTTAGAGGATTCCTTAAACAAGGACTCAAAATAAAAATGTATCAGTTTATCAGTTTCAATATTTGTAATGTTTGCAGACATGTTCAACTATACATGTTTATGGATTTTATTTTATCCATATATATCTAAGTTTCCAGTCCATGATTCACAGATATGACACATTTACCCTATTTTTTATCTGGTAACTGTACTTACTGAGGGGTCCAGTGTGTGTTTACAGATATGACATGTTTACCCTATTTTTCTCTGCTAACTGTACTTACTGAGGAGTCCAGTGGTAACTGTACTTACTGAGTGGTCCTGTCTGATTTACAGATATGATATGTTCACCCTATTTTATCTGCTAACTGTACTTACTGAGGGGTCCAGTCTGAGAGTTCACAGATATGACATGTTTACCCTATTTTTATCTGGTAACTGTACTTACTGAGGGGTCCAGAGTGTGATTTACAGATATGACATGTTTACCCTATTTTATCTGCTAACTGTACTTACTGAGGGGTCAAGTCTGAGAGTTCACAGATATGTTACCTTTTCCCCTTTTTATGACGTCGAGCTCTTGGAGCTCGAACGTCATCTAGCAATCAGCCAGGTGAAATCGCCACCGGATGTACGCGATCAAATATGTCAGTGGATGCATCCGCAATAGAAAATAGCAATAGCTATAGACCAATTTCTTTTAAAACACTCACAATGAATAACAGCTTGAAAATAAAATTGCATCAATTGTATCTACAATTAATTCTTTTACAAAACAACGATATTATGTTTTATTTTCACACAAGAAAAACGTGATGGTTGTTACGAATGAATTTCTACAGAAAGGGTGCGTCGAATGACATGGATAACATTTTGGAACGATAACCGTGGAACACAAACATCCCAACAGGCGGTAAAATAATTACAAAACTAGAACTGTCCAAAAGGGACAAATACCCCCTGCTGGGTTTTTCAGAGGTGCCAAATCACTAATATTTTATGGATCTAAGAGGTGTTCACAATCTTATTATTAACATTTAGAGTGAAAAAAATAATTGCTCATTATATTTTATTTAATGAATGAAACCAAGGAACAACCTAATAAAACATCAATACCAATACATTGTAATTACATTGTTCTTTAATACATTGAAAAAATAAATTGCAACTATCTGTCATCTTTTTGAGACTTGACATTCTGCAAATTGATTTTTGAAAAAAAATCAATTAATTACAAAATCAAATTAATCTTGATAACTTTATATCAAATTCATTTTAAAAATGAAAGGCTGGTCATCCAGTAACTATGTACTATGACAGACAATAAATTACAATTAAGAGAATTAAAAAACAGAGATCTTAAAATTCCCAGGAGATATAGACAACACATGCTTGATCAGAGATGCCCTAACAATTCCCACACTGAACTCATTAATTTATCTCTAACTGGATGATGTCCACTCATTACTCCCAAGGGACAAATGGATTTACACTATCTGCTGTGTAATGTAAAAATTGTTTTTAATACTTGGTGAATTTTTTTGGTTTTTTTTTTTTTGTTTTAATGAATAGTTTTAAGCTGTAGTTCACATAGTTGTACAGATGTTCTAGATTCTGTGTTTCAAACCTTAGAAATAAACCCAAAATGACTAAGTCAATAAAAATGAAAAAAAACCTGTAAAATGCAGAAAAATTATTAAATAATGTTGAAAATACCAGGTGCACATCTTCATATGGTAAATAATGAGTGTACAAATTTTCATACAATTATATGAAATAGTCTTTGAGAAAAGGTCAGGACAAAACCACATAATAAAAATGAAAAAAAACACCTGTAAAATGCAGAAAAATTATTCAATCATGATGAAAATACCAGGTGCACACCTTCATATGGTGAATAATAAGTGTACAAATTTTTAGACAAATCTATGCAATAGTTTCCGAGAAACCCTCTGGACAAAATCTTGTCTACAGACAGACGGACAGACGGACAGACAGACGGACATGGTGATTCCAATATACCCCCCCTAAACTTTGTTTTCGGGGGGTATAATTACATAAACACGAACACTAGAAGACTGAAAAGATTGAATTTCTAAATCTTAGCTTTACTTTTACAATCTTTTAACCAACTTTATCCTAAAAACAGATGATATTGACCAATATTTACATTTGCTGTGTTTTTCTACTAAGCCAACTGTGAAATTGATTTGAAAACCATTTTTGTGTATACTCACGCGTAGAAATACACACGGTGAAACTCGCGCTAAAGTGACATCACAATGAGGCTACAGAGACGTTAATAAAAATGTAACGATATAGGGCAGCAAAAAATTCAAATATTGAGTATATTATTGGTGCTTTTAAACTTGAAAAATGTAAATATAAGGAATGTTTTTAAGTAGTGTGAATTATTGGTGTGTAAATCACACAGACTTGCACGAGGCATATTTTTCATGAAGCGCTAGCGCGCTTCATGAAATATGCCTACGTGACAAGTCTGTGTGATTTACACACCAATAACTCACACAAAACTCAAAAACATTCCTTAAGTATTACTGTATTTCTCCATTTCCCCGTATACTGTACATCATGCCCTATCATAACTCGATCGTACTTGTAACAGAGCAGAGTCATGGTTGTAGTTTAGACACAATCACTAAAACAACGCTTTGACATTCACAATTAGAAAGAATAATATATAAATTCATGAAATCCTCCATAGTTCTTCAATTGACTGAAAAGAAAATTAATAGTTTGTTCAATGGTGCCTGGTCAATTCGAACCCTGCTCCATTAGGACCATGACATAAGGCCCCAGACTGTAATTTTGACATTTTGTTTAAAACTATTTTTTTTTAAATTATTATTTTTATTATGTCACCTGAGTTACTCGACCTATTGCTATCTTCAGATCTTTTGAAATTGTTTTTCTTGTTTGACGTCATTGAAGCCTTTCAGGCTTTTGATTTTTTCTGGTAACTGTACTTACTGAGGGGTCCAGTCTGAGAGTTCACAGATATGACATGTTTACCCTATTTTTCTCTGGTAACTGTACTTACTGAGGGGTCCAGGTCTGAGAGTTCACAAGCCTCCTCCGCTAAGACATGGACAGATCCGTCAGGGTTCACAGTCAGAGAACCACTGCTGGCTGTTCACACAAAGAAAAAGACAATAACATAGCTGTATGTTTTTATTGCTGTATACAGGGAAATTTTCGCCTGTTTATATTTGCCCCTTTTCGTCCTCGACACAAGTGGGCGAATTTAAGACAAGGCAAATTCAAAGAAGACAGTATAATTTCTTAAACAGAACTGTGACTGAATTTGTGGCAAATTTAAAATGGGGCAAAATTGTTTGCAAGTGTGAAAGGGCGAAAATTACATGTGGCGAAATTAACCCTGTATACAGTTTATTGTGTACTTATATGATTCATTTTCAAAAATCTGTATTTGATGATTGAGAGTATAAGTATTACATGTACAATGTTCATAGCTTTCAAAATAATAAAGAAATCTTTCCTTTGATAACAGGTTTGTTCAGACTTACCAAATATGTTCCTAGTGTCTGAGTCATTAACAACCACCGTAACAACACCTGGTTGTAAGACAGCGAGCGTTGGTACGTGTTGAGGTAGAATACCAAACACTCCATTTGTTGTGGGAACGTTAACTTGTCTTACAGCCTCATCTTTGAAAAACACCTGAAAAAGAATTGAGAAATAATTGAATATAATCGTCATTTTTTGTTTATCATAAAGATTTTATTATCATGAGAAGGACAGGGTGTCAATGCAGCTGGCAATGCACAAACTTTAATAGTCTTACTGGAACACTAACATTCTTAGCTCTCTGCAATGTTCTTGGTGATCAGGTATTACATATACCCGGTACCTAACCTGCCCTTTTAATACAGTCTTCACCAAATCTTTTTATCAGCACATGCCCTTTGGGCAAGTGTATACACCAATTGCAGTAGCCCTAACAAATAATTTCATGCTCAGAATTTCCTTACATTAATTTTATTCTTATTTGCCACTCTATATCAAGATATCCATTTTTCCAAGGTTTAGCTACAATGTCACATCATTGTCCTCAACCTGTACACTTTTATGTGAAAGAGTTTCTATAAAACTGGCAAGAATGACCTGTCAGTAAGATTTTATGTGTCACTTTGGATGAGTATAAATATCAAACTAACATTTTAAGTTCACTTTATTATCTCAAACTTCCATATCTCAAATAAATATAGCGAGCACAGTGAGTGGCACTTGCACTGCGAGCTGTTGCAACAATGCCTATGCAAAGAGAAAATTCAGACTACTACACACTGATGCAATAAAAAATTTTCTGCAGTAACCTCTGGACCCAAAATCCTTTGCAAATCACATCTCACCGCCAAACTGCATTCTTACAAGAACCAAAGAAAATGTAAATGAAAAACAGCAACTCACATTGCTTTAATCAAAATTGCAAATAGATAGCATAGTATTGCTGTTAAAAAATTTGCACTTTTTAGACTACATTACATGGATATGCAACAAACATACAATGTCATGCGACATCACAGTCTAGACTGAGTCTTGTGCAGTTTGAAGAGGCGAAGCTAAGTTAAGAGTACACTATGTATCCAGTAATAAATACACAATTGTGCTCCCCCTAACAGCTGCACCATCATACAAATTAAATAACATTAATAATGTCAATAACAAAATCATATCTGTTACTTATTTAAATACGATCCTATTTATAGCAAGTGCAGCGAGCGGAGCTCGTCACTGCGAGCTCTTAAAGAAGCCTGGGCGAAGAGAAAATTCGGACTTTGCACATTGATCAAAATTAATTTCTTTCCGCAGTAACCTGTGGTCCCATAATGCTTTGCGAATTGCATCTCGCTGCAAACTACGTTCTCGCGGTACTCAGAAGTTCCAAAAAGAAATAAACTCGCCTTGATTTAATGGATATACATGTACACTGTATAGCAGATAAATAGTATATTTTAACGTTCTTTAGTAAAATTAGCACTGTTCAGACTTTGTTTTGGTAATACAACTTACATACGACGTCAGAGTCTAGACGTACCAAATATCACTTGCGGTTTGAAGAGTCTGATCTAACTGAAAAGGTATCTGCGCTCACCCTAACGGTTGCACCGTCAACATATTAATTCATTTAAGTGATATGCCTTTAACGTTATAAAGAACATAAGAAAATCATATTGTGTTTTGCTACTGCTGTACCTGGAGACAATTTTATGGCTCTCCTGAAACATTAGGTTTTCACACAGGTACTTGGGTCTTGGTTTATAAATATGTATGTACCTTATTGATATGTAAAAAGTACTTTTTTTTAACATATCAATAGGGTACATACATATTTATAAACCAAGACCCAAGTACCTCACCTGTGGGTTTTCATGCTAAATAAAAGCCAGGAAAGTTTAACATTAAAAAAAAAGTCGATTCTACTTCTTTAATTAAATTATCACGTTGAAATAAGTTCCGGTTTGCTGTCAGATATGGTAATTACACAGACTGAGGAAAGTTGGGCTAACTTCTCTACAAGGTGAACTCTTTATCAAACCTTATTTGGGGAAGCCATTGTGAATGTTAAGCTGGAGGCATCAGCATATCCCCTCTTCTGTTGATTCTGAAGAGTAGAAACTCGGCAACATTGGCCAATTAACGATGGAATTCTCGCAGAACGTCGAATAAGGCTTGCCATGGCTGCCGGGTTTCGCTGTTCCGCGACCTCTAGTAATTGACGAATATCGAGCCCGACTTTATTTCAGGTGGACTAGAAGCATGAAGCACTAAGCAGCTCACCTATCACATCTGACAAAGGTTACCCAAATGAGTAATGTATGTGAATAAGCATTTTGAGATACGCTTATAGAAATATAATTATTTATTTCATAATTAGTATGCTCTGATTTCTCTCTAGAAAAAAATCACCTTTCATCAATAAATATTAGTGTACGTGGCTTGGAGAGCAATGTTGTTATTTTAATGTCAGTAATAATCTTTGACATAAATGTGAGTGTATATATATATATTTTTTTTTTCATGAATAGATGACTTATTAAAGTTAAAACTGTTTTATTCATTAAAAAGGAGGAGAAACAAAGAAAGATAACTCTTAATTTTCTGTGTGTGTAATGCAGAATCCAAAGTTCAGAAACCAGGCCATGATTGTCCCAGTCCAATATAGAGAGATTTAAGGACATTTACACAGAAAGTAGTTCAAAGATACATCAGGGGCAAGTATACTTGATTCAGAAACATAAGAGACATGCAAAATTGGTTCTTATATAATGATAGTGATTGAATTAAGTTGCAATTGTTTATATACTGATCGAATATGCTCTCAGAATATGTTGTAGGAGCATGTTTGTTTTCTGTAGCTGGTAAAATATTTCTTTTGTGTTCTTTAATATAGAATAAAAGAATGTACAGGCACTTTGTATGGGCGGAAGACTAACATTAATGAAAACAATGTCACAACCTCACAGAAAACAGCCAATTCACATTGATGGATTTGTCAAACCAGGATTTGAGAAAGTCTTGGAAGTATTCAGGTTTGTTGATAGGGATGCACGATTTTATTGGTATGCCTGTATATTGTGATTTTTAATTGTGTGATACGTATCGTGATACATAGACTAAAATAATGGCATTTAGGTACATATACTATAGAAAATTCCAGAAATTACTCATTTATTTGTTCAAACTTTTGAATTAAAATTACAGGAAGTGTAACAAATGTTGAAAACTGAAAAGGAATGGCATCCTAGCATCCAAACAATTGCTTTATATTATGTAAATAAATATTTTTAAAAAGTGAAGTTACATTTTTCAAGCATATTTGTAAGAAATATTATGGATATCCATTTAAAATTATAGTAAAATTTGTGTGTAAACATTTCATGAGAAAATATTTTGATATTTTGGGGAAAAATAGTGATTTATCGCGATAAGAAATTTTTGGCGATACCCATCAATATATGTTGAGATTATGGAACTACATACCAGTATATTAAACATATATATAAACATAGCATTGAAGAAATTGCTTATCCTGTTAGTATAATATGTCCCTAATATATAATTCTGTGCCTCAGTGAAACTGGGATACTATATACACGATTGAGAGAGAGAGAACTGTGGTAATTTTAGATTGATTGATTATAATAAACAGGTATAATCTGGAGAATGACATTGAGAGAGGGGGAACTTTTGCGGCATACTACAGGGGGGAACTTGTGGTAAATATCTGGGGAGGATATGCTGATCGGAAGTCCAGGGTCAAGTGGAAGAAAGATCTGATGCCATGTTTTTATTCCACAACAAAATCTCCCTCAGCAACTGTTATAGCTCACCTGGTAGACAGGTAAGTTATTGCTCACCTGGTAGACAGGTAAGTTATTGCTCACCTGGTAGACAGGTACGTTATTGCTCACCTGGTAGACAGGTAAGTTATTGCTTACCTGGTAGACTAGTAAGTTATTGCTCACCTGGTAGACAGGAAAGTTATTCCTCACCTGGTAAACAGATAAGTTATTGCTCACCTGGTAGACAAGTAAGTAATTGCTCACCTGGTAGACAGGTAAGTAATTGCCCACCTGGTAGACAGGTAAGTTATTGCTCACCTGGTAGACAGGTAAAGTTATTGCTCACCTGGCAGACAGGTAAGTTATTGCTCACCTGGTAGACAGGTAAGTTATTGCTCACCTCGTAGACAGGTAAGTTATTGCTCACCTGGCCGACAGATAAGATAATACCAATATTGACAATACTGAATTGTTAATATACAAAATAATTATAGTTTTGTAGACATGGAGTTGATTCATCATAAAGGTTGTGTTTAGATATGATATATACATGTATTTGTAACTGGTGCTTTTAGGGAAGATAACTGTAAAAGTTGTAAGTATATAGAGGAACTATGAGGCTTTGCTTGAAAGTTATGTTTATGTTTTCTTTTATTACCAAGTACTTTCTATATCTGTGGTCTAGATAAAAATAATGAGTTTTATTTACCTAGTCCTTGCCAATTGTTATTTACAGAGGTTTCCTGGATTATTCAGAAAGGGTTTGTAAATACTGGCCAGAGTTTGCAGCCAATGGGAAAGAAGACATCACCTTGGAAACACTAGTCACAAACAGGGTAGGTAGCAGACATATTTAGCTGTAGATAGGTATTGTTTGTTTCCCTCTATATCTAACTTACCTGTACACAGGGGTTGTTTAATGTTACCTGTCTTACCAGAACAGAACAGAACAGAACATTTATTTTCTAATTTAGAGCCCATAACAGACAAGTATGAAATTATTACAATAATAAAGAAAAGATATGCCAATGGATGGTATAACAATTTGTAAATGACATTGCTCATTTCAACAATAATATTGTACTATTTCAGTTAAAGGGAATACTATATGTAAAAGTGTATGGCTACTACAACATGTTATCATTTATGAATTTGCCCACAGAATTAAGAGTTTCTTTGTCTTCAGTATTGAGTAACTAAAAAAGTTTTTGTTCATCATCTAATGCCGAGAAATGTGGAAATTTACTTTTAATTGACTGAAAAATTTCTTTTCTTACCTGTAGGCCGGGTTATCATGTACCGAGGAGAAGTTCACAATGGCCATGTCTAAGGACGACCCTGACAAGCTGGGGAGGATACTTGCCAATCAAAAACCGCTGTGGACTCCTGGTGAGGATATTTATAGCATACTGACATGATAAGTTAAGCAACAACTATTATTTATGTTCAGAATTGAGGAAAAAACATCTTTCCCCATTCCAGGCACTAACCATGGGTACCACCCTATCACCTTTGCTCTATATTTGGATCAAATTGTCAGAAGAGTGGACCCCCAAAAGAGGAGCCTATCACAGTATTTCTATGAAGAAATGGCAGTACCATTTGGTGTGTAACATTTTTATTCTGCTTTAAATTTGAAAATTCGAAGGGGAAGGGGGCATTATTTGTGTGTATATATATATATATATATATATATATATATATATATATATATATATATATATATATATATATATATATCTTTTAAACTTTGTGAGAAAGAGTCTTGATGTTTGGTAAGTTGATGTCCAGGGAAGGTCTGTTGCTGTTGTTTCATGAACATCTAACAAAGCTCTATTAAAAAAATGATCTTCAAACTGCAATTGATACAGCAAAGCACACTCATAACAAATATTGATTTCGTGCAAAAATATCATTACTTTCAAGTTAAGAGGAAACTATTTTCATTCCATACAACCTTTGTTTGCTTTGCAATTATTACAAATAAAACAAAATTTATTAATTTATTGATTTTAAAAGTTTCGAACATATTACAGATCTTGACTTCCACATTGGTCTTCCGTATGAGAAGCAGTACAGAGCACCTCGTATAGTGATGATGAAGAGCTTTGATCAGGAGGAGTATATCAGAAACTTCAAAGGTGACCTCAGCATTCTACAGCTAACAGGAGGGAACCCCACAGACTTCATCGGGGTAAGAGGAGAAATCATTAGGGACAATAACAGTCGTAAGCTTTACTGACAGATACATATTTAACAACCCTACAGACTTCATCCGGGTAAGAGGAGAAATCATTAGGGACAATAATGCTTTACTGACAGATACATATGTAACAGTCTTCATGTAACTTTTACACTATTACAATTCATAATTTTGAGTGTTTAAACTTTCTCTCCAGCAAGATATGTTTTAAAAATTTTCATGTATAATAATTTTTTTTTCAAAATTCCTGTTTGATTGTTCAACTGGTAAAAATTAGGGATGTCAATTCTGTCGATAATTCATATTCGAATATTCAATGAAAGTATTCGAATATATTCGAATATTCGATAAATAAATAAAATCTGGTTTAAATATGTATCATCCTACTTGAAAGGTTTAGAGTAGGTATTCTTATATTGGAAGTAAAATTGTTTGAAGACTTTTGTAGGTGTAGAAGAAGGAATTCCTTTTGATATTTATCAATGTTTGAAATATTTGATTTAAATGTAGAAAAGTACAATTTTAACAAATTATACAATCATGTGTTTTTATAGTAGGTCCAACTGAGGAACCAGTCGTCTTACCAAAGGCAGGATAGTCGTATAATGTTCAGATTTCAATACATGCAATTAATTACAATTATCGGCCTAATAAGAAATATGATCATAATCTTTGATACAATGTTTTTAAAATATAAACAAACATTTCCATAGATAATTTTCCTAGGTAATTAACTATTTTCCCGATAATGAAAATAAAATTCAGGATTATGCACAACCCGTGATAATCAAGTAATTTACACATTTATTCTGAAATTGAGCCCTTTACAAAATTTAATTACAAACATCTTCCATCGGACATCCATTCAATGATCAATTAAATTTATTAAGATAAGTATTCTCTTCATGTCTTTTAGACATTCTAAGAAGGTTTGCCTTTTGTTGTCCTCATTTCTATATCCGATTGTATTTAACAAATAAAAAAGTATGAAAGTACGTTTTGTATTATACATAAAACATTAATGTATAATTCATTAACATCTTACTCAAAACAAAATAATTTAGTAGATCTATATGTGAAAGAAATCAGGCGATCAAAATTGATCGCTTGTAAATTAAAGGGGATATCTAATCAAAATTTATTAATCGCAGTACATGTACTTCTTTTAATGAAATCTGAAAAATACCGAATATTCGAATCTTAAATTCATATTCGAATGTCAACTCATCGAATGAATATTCGAATGTTCGAATATTCGTTGACATCCCTAGTAAAAATGCATTACTGAGGGAAAGTTCAACAGATTTGCGTTCATTACTGGCATTTTTTTTCCAGGTTCGGAGGATGAATGACCCAGATATCAGAGTACTCCCCGTAGGATCTGTATGTGGTCACGGGACAGCGGAGTCCATGGCCAAGTTCCATGCTATTCTAGGGGAGGGTGGGGTGTGGCAGGGGAAACGACTGCTCTCCCAGGACTCGGTGGATAGATTCCAGCGGATAAAGAGTGGTGGGTATGATCTGGCCTTTAGTATGGATGGAATGTGGAGCTATGGGATGATGATATTCCCAGTAATGGAACAAGGAAAGCCGGTGAGTGGATGTTGCTTACTGTTGGCAATTTTACTTCAGCGAATTATGTGAAAGGATACTGCAGATGAAAATTTTATACATAAAAGAACTGTACATTAAAACTTGATGTAAATACCTTTTGTTGTGACAGTGTATATGGGGGAAAAATACAAAATGCTTGCAGGTTTCTATTTTTTAGGCCCCCGTATCGAAGATTCGGGGGTATATAGTTTTTGCCCTGTCCGTCTGTCTGTCTGTTTGTCTGTTTGTCCGCAAAAACTTTAACATTGCCCATAACTTTTGATTGGTTGGAGCTATGGCTTTCATATTTCACATGTGTATTCCTTGTGACAAGACCTTTCTTTGGGTACCACCATATTTGACCTTTTGACCTTGACCTTGGAGTTTGACCTAATTTTACAAAATTTTACCCAACTTTAACCTTGGCCATAACTTTTGAACAATTGGTGCTAGGGCTTTCATACTTCACATATGTAATCCTTGTGACAAGTCCTTTCTTTGGATACCAACAACTTTGAGCCTTTGACTTTGACCTTTGAGTTTGACCTACTTTTGAAAAACTTTAATCTTGGCCATAACTCTTGAACAATTGGTGCAAGGCTTTCATGCTTCACATATGTAATCCTTGTGACAAGACCTTCCTTTGGATACCAACAACTTTGACCCTTTGACCTTGACCTTAGAGTTTGACCTACTTTTGGAAAACTTAAACCTTGGCCATAACTTGTGAACCGTTGGTGCTAGGGCTTTCATACTTCACATATGTAATCCTTGTGACAAGACCTTCCTTTGAATACCAACAATTGTAATTCATTGACCTTGACCTTGGAGTTTGACCTACTTTTGGAAAACTTAAACCTTGGTCATAACTTTTGAATGGTTGGTGCTTCAGCTTTCATATTTCACCAGTATATTTCTTGCGAGAAGGCCTTTCCTTAGGCACCATTATTTTTTTTCCATTTGACCTTGATGTTTGACTTACTTTTGAAAAACTTTAACCTTTTCCACATCTATTCAATGGTTGCTGCTAGGGCTTTCATATTTCACAGGTATATTCCTAGAGGCAAGACCTTACTTTGGGTATCAACATATTTGATTTGCATTTGAGAAAGTTTAACCTTTGCTATAAGTTGCCATATGGGGGCATCAGTGTTTCACAAACACATCTTGTTCAATAAAAAGAGATTGCATATACCGGTACATGTACTACATATAGTACAACCAACATACATATTGAGATATTTTTCCATTTAATTAAAATAGGTGCTCTCGTCTTTATTCTAGACAATGTTTATGTTTGGCCATGGTGGATATGGAGGACAGATGGGCCTGGCAGACACCACCTACAGAGTGGGGCTGGCATACGCCACCAGTCACCTAGACCCCACATCCCGTCCTGGGGCTGATGCAGACAAACGCTGGCCATCTATGTACAATGCACTCTACAAGTGTATATATCAGATAGAAAATATCCGCGTCCCCAGGAAAACTTTGTATCTGTATGAAGATTATAAGAAAGCCCAGAGCACGAGCAAAATGTGATCATTTTCTTCTCTGTGTACATGTATTTTCCATTATTTTTTTTTAAATGTCTTCTAAGAGAGGCTAAAGGATATAAATATGTACAGCCTCAGAGATGCAATATTCCTCAGGGACAGCTGAGAACTATTAAAAATGGTTTTACCTTTTTAAATACCTTAAAAGCATATGGCTTATGTTTTTATATAGTATACATATTCGTAAGTGTAATTAATTAAAACGTAATTTATTCATGATTTTCAAACCTTGTTAACTGACTTAATGATTATACAATTGTTGAATTTTATATCCGATAACCAAAATTATTTGTTGACAATAAATTAAAATATAAAAGCATGTATTAAATTATTAATGATTCTGAATATACATATTTCCTTGATATATCATCACATTTTCTTTTTTTAGAAAGCAATTTAAAACATAAGTAACATGTCTATCGTCTAAGTTATACAACTACACACCACTTAAGTGGATCGACATATAAAGAAGATATAGGAATCACCCTTGTCAATCTGTTTGTCTGTGCAATGTGTCTACACCAAAACAATGTAATGGAGAAACAGTGAAAGATTGTACTTGACAATAAGAATCCTAGTAACATGAGAGTGTTCTCAATCTTAATCATTCATTTTTTCATGGCCAGAGTCACTAGAAGGAGAATTGTAAAGTACTTGTCCAACACATAATATTGTAGCTGGATAAACACTAAATGCTGTGGCGCAGTGGTTAGAGCATTTGCTCTAGAGTTGCGGCATAAGGAGTTGATCCTTATGGATTCAAATCCACTGCAGGACGTGGAGACCGGTCCTTCGGATGAGACCATATAAACCAATGTTTGTCACAGTAGGTGCTGGCATGAAAAAGATCCCTCGCTGCTTAGTGGCCCTGAGTACAGAGTATAGGTCAATATTTGCAGCCCTCCACCGGCAAGTGGTGGCGTCTCCATATGAGTGAAATATTCTCGAGAGGGACGTTAACCAACCACCAAACAAAACATTAAATGCTAAAACTTATCATCTGGGCTGTTCATGACTCCAAGGTTTATCATGATCTTGACCCAATGTCATTGATAAGTTCAAAGTTAATGGCAGTCAATGATGTCATCCATGTAGACCTTAACTTTGCAGTCAAAAACATTGGACAACCATACTGACAGGACAAATGCTCATGATCTTTGGGAGTAGCATAATCTTAATCCAACTTCATTAAAGCAAGCTCAAGTCACAGAATAAAGTGTAAACTTTCAATTTGTGAAGAATGTCATCTGAAGCTGATCATAAATGTGTAAACCTTGTTACAAAAACAGTAGTAAATTATACCAAACTTGGATATTGTTTACACAGTTTTTGGGGATGGGGAAAGGGAGCATAATTTGATGAGCTAACAGTATCCCTTGGTGGTACAAATACAGGAAAAAAAATCATGCTCCAATTTTATCTCTTTTCCATTCCACCAATCGTACCATCAAGTTCAAAGATCTAGGACACGTAGTTTTTTGTCAATTCACAACTTACACTTTGTCATATTTTTTTTCAAATTGTCTTAAAATTTTACATAATTTACAAGGATATTATTTCAGGTCAGAGTTCAAGTTTAACCATGTTACTATTTGGGGCATTTTGCTTTACATACACTTTTAACATTATAATATACTCTTCAAGTGCTGTATGGCTTTGGTGATCTATTCACTGTATTTCTCCATGTCTCTGATTGTAGGCATTCTGTTTTTTCTCATTGAAACATCTTTTCATACAAAACACTGGACTCTTCTTTAGTTGTATCATCTTTATGATCATGATATTCTTTAATATACATTTAAAATTCTATCATATCATGAACACATACATGTTTTCCCTGACTTCACAATGGAACTCTGTATCAAAATTGAGTTTAACTGGCAATTAACATTTAGATAAAAAACAACCTGGTATCCTTTAATGATAGTCATATTATACTTTTATCATATAAATATAGTGTATGCATGCCAATAAAGCTTGCAAAACATTCATAAAAAGTTTCAAAGCACCCTTAAAATACAAACTCCAAAATAAAGAATGATTGCAAAAGAACTCCCTGAAAAAAAGAAGGTAATTTGGTGTAAACAAGACAGTGCATTTCAACCTCAAGTACATATATCTTCAACGGAATTCATTTCTCAGTTTCCAGAATCCTATGCCATTATTTCGTTCAAACACACATATTTTGTTCAACATGGCTTTAAACAAGGAGGAGTTGGAAGGAGGAAGCTTAGGACCGAACTCATCCAGAATCTCCTGAGTAGAAGCCTTGCCAATCATACTACACCCAAACAGAATAAAGTTTTTAATTTCTGAGATAAGTTTGTAAGAATCTAAATCAATCACAGGGTTCGTGGAGTTATCTCCCATGTCATCCTCCTCTTCATCACCGGGTGTTGCCACTAGCTCATTTCTCTTCTTCATCTGGTTCAATAAGAGGTCAGAAGTCATAGAACTTGATGAAGATTGTCCTGTTTTTAGATCTTTCACCACGTTGCCTACCAGAGAACCATCAAAATGCTTCACTGGTGGGTCTGAATCAGATTTTTTTAACTGCAAAAAGCAAAGTAATCATGTTATTAAGACATGAAATTTTCTTATTGTTAAATTTACTTTGCTATAATTGTTTAAATAAACCATAAAATTAGGAAAAATAATTTTTCTTGTTTAAAACCATGGTTTCATTATAAAGATGCTCATTATATTTTTCGTGTACAATGTACTGTACTCCATGCACCCATGTAAATACAGAAACTAAGCATGTGATAATGAATCTTACAGTGGACACTGAAGCAGCAGGTTGTGTCTCCTGTTTCTTTGTGGAATCAATCAACATGCTATTCTTCTTCTGTCCAAATCTTGGCCTGAAAATAAAAAAGAAATTAGGATTCTTGAAATGTTGTTGGAAATTGAAATACCTGATATTCTTTTCTACAATAAATACAAATGACTTACTTTTTGACCCCTGATTGGCCAGTCCAAGTAGGCAGTCCTGTAATTGCTAAGTTACAGGCTGACCTTGACCTCTTCAGAGCTCGAGCAGCTTCCTTGGCAACTCTAGCTGCCTCATTCTCCACAATCATGTAGTCATGCTTGGAAGGATCCATAATCACATCATGCTTCATTGCAGTGTCTATACCTGTATGTGTAATTGTAAAATAATAATACATAGATGTATATGTTTGGTCCTGAAATAACAGCTTGTAAGCATTTTGTTTTTGATACATGTCTCTGCATGTCTTTTACTTTGTTTTTCATCACTATGTCACTATCTCCTGAACATAATATAAGGGCCTACAAACTTTATATTTGGTCAAAGTAAAGGTCAAGGTCATGACAGATTACGATCAATGTCATATATGAAGGTCAAAAGTCAAAAAATAAATTTGTAACTGCATGTACCCAACAAAAGCCACTGCTGAGGGCATATTCCAATACATCTTGTTATATATATATATATATATATATATATATATATATATATATATATATATATATATATATATATATATATATATATATATATATATATATATATATATATATATCTGTAACAGGTAAATTTAACAAGAGGCCCAAGGGCCTTAACGGTCACCTGAGTATAATACAACAATTTAGAGGATCCATAGAGTATAAAATGAACTGAAAGGTGAAGCTTTGTTGCCCAAAAGCAAGAAAAATAGGGTGATCAGGATTAACAAAATAATTAGTCTAGTATTCATTAACAGTTCATAAATTAGGTTCTAATCTGTTCCCCATTTATCACTCTCACCAGACAGTATATTAAGAAACTATCAGTGCTTCTGTACTCTTTTAATTCCTTGTGGAAATCTCTTACATTGGCCTGAGTAAGACTCTTGGTCTTTGATTAACATTTAAGGTACTGGTATTCCATCCCTAATAGCCTCATATTCAATGAATTTGAATACATAACAGATGTGTACGGGTGGAATACTCAGTATATTTAGACATAATCTACATTTATTACTATTAGCATGTAAGAATGGAAGTGTCCTAATTTATGACTTGACCTTTGTTGAAGAGTTATCTCCCTCTTTTTTAAGTAATAAAAATCAATTTTAAAAAAATATACGGTAAAAAAATTGTTTTCAATTGTCATTCTATTTCTAATGATTTAATGGATCTTTCCACCACAGTAGTTATTGATATTCTTATTATCTGAATTTTTATTTTAAAAAAATCGCTTGTCTCCGTAGACTTCAATGCAATTTCTATTAATTACATACTGCTTAGTTAATTATGTTTTTGAAACTTTCACTTGGTAAATCCTTTTCTACTGTAAAGTTCTTTGAATTAATATCAGAGTATTATATACGTGATTGATATTTAAGGATAGAGAATTAGTTCCTATTAGGGATGGAAAACCTTAATAAGACAAGTCTACCTGATCATTAAAACTATGAAAGTACTTTTTGTATTATACAATAAAAATTCTTGCATAATTCTCTTATTCTATTAACCTTTCAAGTACATTATTTACAGTGATTAATTATCACAAGTAAATGGCAAAGGGGAATAACTCCTCTCAGTAGAATACAAATTAATAGAGCCCTGGCCTGGACTAGAACACTTGACCAAATGGTCTTGATGTTCAAAAATCTGGTAAAAATACCCTTCCTTATTAAAACTTTTACCCTTTTTGCCTCTGATATGCCCAGGTGCAGAGAAGATTTTTAAAGCATTAATGCATTTTCACTGTATAATAAATAGAGTCCCGCTCTAACATCAGAACCTCTGATCCAGGGGTCAGGAAATTCACAAATTTGGAAAAGGCATCCTTGCTTATCATAACCATGTATTTGTTTAAATAATACCCAGGAGAAGAGAAGAAGCTTTTCAAAGAAATAATGCACTTTCACTATATGATCTATATAGCCCCACCCTAGCACCAGAACCCCTGACCCAGGGGCCATGAATTTCACAATTTTGGTAGAGTCACTCTTGTTCATCATAACTATGTATTCAATTTGTTTCAATAATACCCAGGAGTAGAGAAGAAGATTTTCAAAGAAATAATGCACTTTCACTATATGATCTATATAGCCCCGCCCTAACACCAGAACCCCTGACCCTGGGGCTATGAATTTCAAAATTTTGGTAGAGTCACTCTTTCTTATCATAACTATGTATTCAATTTGTTTCAATAATACCCAGGAGTAGAGAAGAAGATTTTCAAAGAAATAATGCACTTTCACTATATGATCTATATAGCCCCGCCCTAACACCAGAACCCCTGACCCTGGGGCCATGAATTTCACAATTTT